GCTGTCTCGGGCCATCTCTCGCCTTGTTCCTCGGGCATGGAGTCACACTCTTGGCAAACACACCATTTGGCTCTGGTGCCAAGTTGCCTGGGCACCTGTGCCTCATTCACACCGGCTTTCTACACTATTCCTAGAGAGTGCTCTTGCTGTCAGGGCAAGAGCAAGTAAAGTATCATATAGACTAGTTTTTTTTTAACCTGTTCAGGTTGGTCCAATACAGTTTTATTTGTGCAGTTGTACACGAATTCTTAAAGTATCCCTGCAGAGAAAGAAATTAGTATCAGTTGCCTGGTGCTGTACTTGAATAAATATAAATTGTGTTAAATTATGCTGAATAAGACAGTCAAAATGTTATGCTTTTCTTGTATTGGGATTTAGACTAAAGGGGATGTTTTTCCAGCATTTTTCTGGTGAGAACTTGTCCCATGTGAATGATTTTTGAAAATGTGAATATCTGTGAATAGTACTCTTCAAAGTATATATGATGGAGATACACATTTTTCCTGTGAAAGATGGTGATTTGTGTATTTTGAATGGCATGTATCTTAGGTACTCAGTACTGTTTGAAAAATTAGGAGATTTCATTTTTGTGTGTAAATAATTTGGTTTAAAAAGTCTTTCATGCTTATAATCATTCTAGATTGTCATCTATTTAAAATTAAAGCTCTGGGAAAGAAAACTATTAATAACTTCAAAACTAGTCCCCAGCTCTTTGAAATATGCCAGCCAAAGGAATGCTAAATGAGAACTGGATGTCAGCACTCTTAAGTTACTGTAAGACTGCCTGAAAGAATTCCATGATTTCAACACTGTTGGTCCAGAGGAAAAATTTTCTGTGAGGATTGTTGTTTTGCAAAACACAAGCTTAATTTTAACAACTATCAACTAGCATAATCCATGTGAGATAAATTTTTGTAAAGTAAAATGGTTACATGCACTTTAGGCCAGCAGCCTGTCCCTGAGGTCTGCCGTAGCCTCCAGAGAACTGTTTCTATCTTCCATATCTTAAAGATAACTAAAGCTAATACTGTTTCTTTCATCCCTGCTAAACTCTTCATAGAGATTGAGAACATAAGAAATTATGGCTTCTCAAAAATACTTTGTCCTATACTCATTTGCAGTAATTGTTTGGCAACTCCAATTCACCCCTCGAGATAAATAGATTTAAAGTGTGTGTGTATGTGTATGTGTTTTATACTGGTGCCATTAACTCATGTAATGTCACTAAAATTTAAACACCTGTTTCCATTCTCAGTTGTGCTTTGAGGGAGCTAATTAGCCCCTGATCTGTATTTCTTTAATACCTCTAACTTTGGTCAAATGGGTTTTACTTGCCAGGACTCAGAAGGCGTGGACATCAAGCTGGGTGTGTGTGCTAATGGACTTCTCATTTACAAAGATAGACTGAGAATCAATCGTTTTGCTTGGCCGAAAATCCTGAAAATTTCCTATAAGCGCAGTAACTTCTACATTAAAGTTAGGCCAGCAGAGGTAAGCAGTGTACACTTAGCATATCTAATCAATAGCGTGGTGAATCCTTTTCACTGATGCCTTAAGAAAAATGAACCATTCTTTATTTTTCTATGATAAAAAGGTCAGGGTTCTTGATAAACCTGCATATGCAAATTCCTATTGCTAACAATCCATAATACTACGTCGTGCATTAAAAAAAAATAGAAGCCTAGCACATTGTATGTGCTCGTTTTTTCCTGTTGAGTCAGTGAAGTGGTGGAGAGCAATAGAAGGGTGCTTGGAATTCTGGTGGGCAGTGAAGAATAGTTGGTTTGTGTGAGTAGTTAACACTTGCTTTTCATGGACAACACTGTTGCAGTCTATGAAAAATTCATTTGGTATGATTTTATTGGACATATCAATGTTTACCTTGGTGAAGAAGAATTTCTTCTTACAGAACCAATTAATGCATGTTTTTGGGTAGCTTCTCATCAGTGCCTAAGGAAATCTGCTGACTTGTTCCATGGATTCATTGCAGCTAGAACAGTTTGAGAGCACCATTGGATTCAAACTGCCAAACCATCGGGCAGCAAAAAGGCTATGGAAAGTGTGCGTGGAACATCATACTTTCTACAGGTAACTTTACAGGCTGTCCTGGAATCGCTGTTGGTCCTCCGTGTACACTGGAGTGTGGCAGATGCATCAGCCCCTGCCTAGGGTTCCTTATTCTTGGGTCTACATCTCCTCAGTCATGTGTAGCCCTGTTCCATGTCCTTTTCTGCTGCCTGAGGCCATGCTGTGACTTGCCTGCAGTTGTCCATAACTCCACTTTCTCCATCACACAGCCCTTCGCCTGCTGCCCTTCTGTCACTCATCTGAGGTTTGATTTAGGTGGATGGTCTTACCAGCTCCCTCCTGGCTTCACTTCTTGTCTAAGCCAGCCTGAACCCTGTGATCTGTCCTACAGGCTGTTTTGTCAGGAATACTCAAACCCCTCATGTTCTTCTCTTGTTTGTACATCTGCCTTCCCAATCTGCTGGTGCTAACCTCACCTGTATCTGTGCTGTCTGGTGCTGCCTTAGGTTCATGTATTCCTAACAACAGAGGAATTGTAGTAATACAGTTGTGTGGATTGATGCTATTGCAGATAATTTCCAACATTAGCTAGATCCTTGCTTCCAGTTAGCACACCAGTCTTTCTCTAGCATGCACAAGGCCCTGGGTTCAGTCCTCAGTGTCACAAAAGAAGAGAAAAAAATAAGGAAGCCATTTGATGGATTTCGATGGTTTTAATCACAAAAGGTGCAAATGGCTTCCTTTTTTTTGCCACCAATTCTAAGTGCTATATAGGGATTAATTCTTTTAATCTTTACAACACATCTGTGGGACAAGGCCTATCATCTTTCACATAGGGAAAGCTGAGGCACAGAGAAGTCAAGTAGCGTGCCCTGGTCACATAGATAATAGCCGATGGAGTTAGCATTCACACTCAGCAGTGTGGTCCTGCTGCTCCAAGTATTGTCCTGTGCTGTGCTGCTTGCCTGGTGCATCTATCCTCAGTGTGTTTTCTTACATTTCCCACTGCCTCTACCCCCAGAGCCTTGAGTGCCCTAGGCAAGAGCTGTGTCCCTGAGCTAAGCCTCCTGCCTGTTATTTTTCTTTTAGGGTCATAAGCAAGGATAAATGCAAAGTCCTTCCAGCTCGATAATAAGCTGTCACTTAAATTTGGTATCAAAGTAATCCCAGGGTCTTACTGTCATCGGCTATGTTAGAGAGAGAGCTTCACAGAAACCTATGTCCTGGCTATGATTAACTCTAGTCATTGGTGAAGGGGGGTTTCTTAAAATGTTCCTTTATTTTCTGTAGATAAATAATGATAGTTTATAGCAAGTTTTTATGAAATTAAAATGTTTACTGCTTAAGCAGTGAAATATGTTGAATTTCTTTTTTTGACATCATTACCTAGATCGCTTTGCTCAAGGCCTTTAATACTCTATAAAAGTTGTTTCTTTTATGTAGTTTTTGTATCCTCAAAAACTGATAGGTATCTTGTAGTGGTTTTTATGTTACTAATATAAAGATAGGGTCATGATGCAGGTCTTGATGTGGAGAATAACAGTAATTTCAAAAGGAAATAAGAGATCTTGAAGTAACAGGATTGAAATATTTTGTTGCTTGGCCTACATTTTCTTAGAAAATTTATTTGTATCACTTCTGACTTACGTCACCAAAAGAATTCTTTTGGAGGAAACTAATAAATATCTAGTGTTCCATTCTTTTTGTTTTGTTTCCACAATTACTTAAAAAATTATTTGTCATGAGAAAATTGTATGTAAGCTAATAATTTTGACATGTGATCACTAGTGTCAAGTAGGCCAAAAGTTTTTCACACCAATTTAAAATGAAGTAAAAATCCATGTAGCTTATGACTTTTCTTCTTTTGCATTGTGGTATATATTTGACTTTTAAATATTTTCCTTATATTCCTTGGATTTCTTTTTTTTTTGTAAAATGTCTTATACAAAGTGAATTAATGGATATTTTGATATGTATTTAAATGGCAATCAATTGTCTGACAATCACCTTGACACAAATAAATTAGACTATGGAAACAGTAGTAGTATGGAACTCTTTTTACTAGACTTAGCTGTTGGGCTGGTTAGCTGCGCATTCCAGCCTATACAATTGGGAGGTTGCCTTCAGAATTGGGAGAAAACCCACAACAAAACCAGCAACTCCATTGAAGGACATGACTATTATTTTGTTTCATTAAATGAAGACTCAACTATTCTGTAGTAACTTTTGCAGTGTGCATGTGTCATAAGTTGCAGGGCTTACTTCTGCAGTGCTGTGACTGTGCAGTGTCAGGAAAGGAAACACTGCAGAGCTGGCCGCAGTGCTGTGTGCTGGTAGTGATAGCTGCTGGGGAGGATTGCAAGCTCAGCAGTGTGAGATCAGTCGAGGCAGTATGGCAGGACCGTGTCCAGGAGCGACTGGGGCGAGGGCAGACGGAGAGAACACAGGAGGGTGGGCGTGTCGACACGTTGTCTTCCCATTGTCGGGACTGCAGTTCAAGTGTTGCCATATAGTAAAAGGTAAAAGTAGACCATAAGGTCCTCCTTTGCATTTATTAAGTACCTGCTATCTAAAGGTCCCAGTACAGATACCTGAAGTTACATAAAATAAAAGAATAATTAGAAAGTTAGGAGATACTAATGGAGGTTTTCTTAATTTTCTTGAGAAATGATACATTTTCTGATATTTTTAAAAAAATCATTTTATAAAAGAAGAAAGTTATTTTTGAAAAGATGTAGCCTTTTATGTACATATTCTTTAAACTATTTTCCTCATTCTAAAAACAGGCATCCTGTTTCTAGTTTTAAATTTCATTTTGGCAGTTTTCTTTTGGGTTATCAAATGCGTGCTTCTCCATTGAACTGTTCTTTAAAAATCTCCCATTTCCTTTAGTTGTTCACTCAGTAACTACAGAGTATCCTTTAGGAATAGTCAGTGTAGTTCTCAATCTCTGCACTGATGAGCTTGTCAGAGGTGCCCCCTCTCCCTTACAGGTCACCGCCATCTGACAGGGCATCCTTGGATCCTAGTTAAGTGGATTGCTAGGCAGGGAAATCCCTAGTAAACTCACCAGGAAACAGTGCAAGGTGAATGACCACATTTCTCATCCCTCCTGTTACTCACGATCTCAGTGCTGGGCCTTTTAACTCCTCTGTGCCTCATTCCCCAAATGGTAGAAAGAAACAGTTTAGAACATGGGTTGGATTCTCTTCTGAGGGTATTCTGACTTTCTGATTTACAGTTATGCAACTTTTCCAAAGTACAATGTAGAGCCCTGGACACTGTCAGATTGCAGTTTCTCAGCAGCATTATCTACGTCTCCTTTGAAAATCTATTGGCAGGAAATGAGTGAATACCGTTTTGAGAATCTTAAACTCATCATGTCTTGCTTCTCCTTGATTTGGATCTCTTTATTATTAGTCTAAGCAGAATGAAATTTCTAAAAAGATGTGCAGAGGTCTAGAAATAGTTGAAATCATACAGAACTTTTAAGAATTTACTTCCTTGGAAAAGTTTTGGTGGGGTTCTCCATGTTCTTGAATTGTCAACTAAAGTCATAATAAATTGTATAAGAGCTCTAAGATTATCTTTCAGTTAAGACTTTCATCAACTCTTGATAAAACAATGAAAACAAGGCAGTTTTATTTGTATTCCAAAGAAGATTGGCTTATTTTCTGAAAACCTAAGTCTGGAAGTATTTGACGTTATGAACCTAGGGCTTACACAGAATTGTGCTGGCAAGAAAGAATGTTAGTCATCTCTGTGGATCCTCTCTGTGTGCTGTTCTTCATGGGAAAAGATCATTTGATGGAACAGATTCTTGACTGAGATGTTTTTTCCCAGGAGAAATAGGCATAAATATTAAGAATTGCTAATGGTAATGGATTGCTACTTGGCACTTAAACCTAGGAGCAAGAATTTAGACATATGTGTTTATATAAATGAGTTAAACTATTACAAATAAATAACCCGTGATGCACACTGAGAACAGCTGCTCTTATGGTCAGGTTGAGAAAAACATTATTCATGAATACATGAATGTAAATTTACACATCACCGTCATAAAAGTACATGCATAGAAATGTTTATCCATAATGTTCTTTTTATTATAAAGTTTAAGTAACATTTTTGAGCAGTCATACTTAAATGAGATATTAAAATATGAAGTTACAATTTTTGAATTAAATAAAGTCTAATTGTGTTTCTCTCCATTTTACCCCTGTAGGCTTGTGTCTCCAGAGCAGCCACCAAAGGCCAAGTTCTTGACCTTGGGGTCCAAATTCCGCTACAGTGGCCGCACCCAAGCACAGACTCGCCATGCAAGCACCCTCATAGACAGGCCAGCACCACATTTCGATCGTACATCTAGTAAACGGGCCTCCAGGAGCTTAGATGGAGGTAAGCACTATGATAATTTCAGATTACATCTATCTTTCTCTAGTCCAGTGAGGTCAGAAAATGTTGATCTAGTTAATAAGATCACTAGAAATACTCCAGAACAGTGGGAGCAAAACTGTGGCTTGCATATTACTTGTTTTTCTTTTAAGTCAAAAGATGTTCATGTGTAAGTTGATTTTTCTAAACTAAACCCTCAGTATTCCTTTTTAATCTTCTTAATGACAGTGTAATTTTAAGGGTTTTTTATGTTAACATACGTACTTTATTAGCTGAACACAAACATTCTTAGCATCATCAGATTTTGAGTTTTGAAGCCTAAGAAGCCACACGTTTGTAGTTTTTTATTGTTGGCATATCTTTGCAATGCATGATTACCTTCATCTTCGAGAATTGATATATATATGCACATCACATCTTGGTCATTTTTACTTTCCTCTTCACCTCCCTCTGTTCCAGATCCCCTTCCCATCTCCACAAAGTCTGCCTCCTATTTCCTACCATCTCTCTTTTATTTTGCTCTTTATTTGTATTTAGGGTTTCTTGTATAAGAGAAACGATGCAATATTTGTCCTCCTGTGTCTGTCTGATTGACTTTACTGGCATTATGCTGTCAAGTTCCATCTATTTTCTTACAAATTTATCCTTCTTTATAGCTAATACTTGTATGTGTGTGTGTGCGTGCGTCCATTTATCTGTTAATGGGCATATACACACCTTTCATAATTTAGCTATTACGAATTTGCTGCTATAAACATGGGAATACATGTTATCACTATAATATAATGCCTTTAGCTCTTTCAGGAAGGTGCCAGAAGAAGAGTAACTGTGTCAAGTGGAATCTCTGGTTTTATTTTGGGGGTCTAATTTTTGGGAATTCTTTATATATTGTGGGTATTAGTCCTCTGTCCAAAGTGTGGCTGGCAAAACTTTCTCCTCCATCTTATAGGTTTCTTCACTCTGTTGATTGTTTCCTTTGCTATGCAGCAGCTTTTAAAAATATTTGTATAATCCCATTGGTTGATTCTTGGAGTTACTTCTCATGCAACTGTGGTTCTGTTCGGGGAGTTCTTGCCTATGCCTATGCCTCCAAGAGATTTACCTATTTTATCTTTCAACAGACTCAGCATTTCTGTTTTTATATTTAGGTCATTGATCCATTTTGATTTGATTTGAGTACAGGGTGAGAGATTCTGCATATAGAGAACAGGTTTCCCCAGCACTGTTCGTTAAAGGTACATCTTTTCTCCATTGTATGATTTGGGCCCTTTTGTCAAAAGTCAGAGTGTTGAAAGTGCATGGGTTGTTTCTGCACCCTCAGTTCTAGTCCATTGGTAAGCTTGTCTTTTTTTGTGCCAGGAACACGTTGTTTTTTTTCCTGTTCCTCTGTGAAGTCCAGGATTTGTGATGTCTCTGATTTTGTTTTTTTTGTTCAGGATTGCTTTTTGGATTCTAGGTCTCTCGTGGTTTCATATAAGTTTTAGAATTTTTTCTAGTTTTGTGAAGAAAGCTTATGACATTTCAGTTGGAATTGCATTAATTCTTTATATCATTTTTGATAATGTGGCCAATTTGACAATATTGGGTCTGCCTATCCAGGAACAGTGATGTCTTCATTTTCTAATGTTCTCTTCTGTCTCTTTTTTCAAAGTACTATAGTTTTTGTGGTAGAAGTCTTTCACTTCCTTGGTTAGGTTATTTTTTTTAAGTATTTAATTGTTTTGAAGGATAAATGGAATTGTTTTTCTGCTTTTTCAGTGGGTTTATTGTTGGAATACCCGTTTCTTTTTCCTGATTTTAGAGTGAGTGGTTTTATTTTTTTTTTTTTCAAGATCCTATTCCTTTATTTTTTATGTGTTTTACAGAATTTTATTTAACTTTTAAAACTTTTTTACTTTTATTAATACTGTACGTGTTTGCAAGTACATAATGATTACCTTCTCTAAGGAATTGGTACATGTACATAACACATTTAAATTCTTTTTTTCCCCTTTTCTCCATGCCCCTTTTATTCTTCCAGCATCAGATTCATTTATTTGTAAGACCATATAAAGTTAATTATATATATA